TCATATAAATTTTAATGAAAATATGCTAATTTTTGAAAAAAAAATTCTTTGACTAATATACATTTGGAAAACTAAATGCAAGCGATATCTAAATTCTGTACTAACTACTACTTTTAAAACATGAAAAAAATTTCGAGGAACACTTTCAGAATATTTGAATTTATAAATCTTTAGAAAATGTGAGACACCTAAAAACAAGTCAAGATCCTCCTCCTACAAACGAAATAAACTTGAAATTAAATCTCACAAAACGCTCACGCATTTTATCAAATACGTGCCAATTCCAAATAACATTGAAAGAAATGGATTACTCTCGCACCCAGTCATTCGTGAATGGAATTTGTTAAGCGAAACAAAAGAAAAGAGTACTTCATACTAGTCTGGTCTTTCAGCAGAACAAAATAAGGGCATAGAATGAAGCACATTCTGAAAATAATCTTGAGAGGATCAATCTAAAAAATATAGAACACGTTTTGGGTAATGTATAGCATTGATTGACTAGATACTGCTCGAATCCTAAAGTTGATTAGTCGAGAAAAAACGTGATATGACTGTAAACTGACTGTTGTTTGGAAAATGGCTAATAAGATACACTTCAGGACTGATAATGCAATAATTAAAAGGAAAAATGAAGAAACAATGCTCCAAATGATGACTTAAAACAAGATTAAAAAGTATTTTCAGTCTCTTACAATGTATGTAAAAACTACTTGTAAAAGAGTCTCATACGCAAATACATAGTTAAGAAAATTTTGATTGTCTTTATATAATCACCAAAAAATGTTCCATAAGTTCTAATGGCACGCTAGTGGAACTCTAATGCAGAGTTAACAATGAATTAAATGAAAGTTAAAAGCTCACATATGCAAATACATAGTTAAAATAAATATTGGTTGTCTTTAAGCAACCATTAAAAAAAATTCCATACTAAGGTCTAATGGCACGGTGCTTCAACTCTAATGCAGGATTAACAATCAATTAAATGAAAACCAAAAGTTTCGGATGAGATTTTATTATTAAAAAAACCATCTTTCCCAACTGAAATGGAGGAACACGTTTAGAAACATATTAGGTAAAATCCTTTCCTCATCCAAAATTTATGTCATGAACTCCAATATACTGAAACCCAAGATCAATTACATCTTAAGACTACTTTGCATTACTTAACACTTCGAAATCATACGTACTTTCTAAGCACTTCAGTGATAAATAGCAGGGGAAATTCCGTATGATTATACGGAATTTCCCCTGCTGTTCATCACTTTTTTATTGAATATCAAGAGATAAAATGGGTTTAATTTTCACCAGTTCAAAATTGGAGAAAATATGAGTACAACACACAGAGTTATGTGTAGTCATAACTTAGGTTGATTGATTAAAAGTAAAAATAGCCGTATTAAGGGCGGCTCTATAAAGCTAGATATAAGCAATTTACTCATGTCGGAAACAAAAACGTTATGATTCATATCCAATAACAAAATTTTTTAAACCAAATTTTCAATAATCCGTCTTAGAAATTTAAAGTACATAAGATTTTACGCTTTATATTTCATTAATTAATAAATATTAATATTTTATGTGATTTCAAGAAGTTTAAGTTACTTAAAGACTAAACAAAGGTGCTCTGCATTCATCAGAAAATTTATCCTGTTGTTCTGGAGACGTAATTCATTCATAACGAAGCTGGTTTTAGCATTCTTGAACTGTAACATTACCATTTGCACTTAAGCATTATTTTTAACGGAATAAGACCAATTTCATTCAAAATACATCCCAAACTTAAAAAAATGGTTCGAAATATGAATTATTGAGGGAATTCATGAGATGCTTCTAGAATGCAAAATGCATTAGAGATTCAAATGTGCAAATTCAGATCCTTTTAATCCCTTATAAAATGTACAAAAAGCTACATTTTAAGTAACAACGAATTTGAGATTATTGTTATAATATCAGTCACAATAAAATAAAAAAAATTGTCCAACTTATATATTAAATAGGCCATTACGGTAAGGGTTGTGAGTGTTCTTTTTTGCAAGTGATACAATCTATGGCGAAGAATTCAACTTCTGCCATACCCATACGTCACACCTGTTTATAGGGTGAATACATTCATACGTCCATTCATTCATCCACAGACCGTAATTTTGACCTTAACCTTAGAACTATCAATCACCAATTCAGTGCCCCTAGTTGTATAATTTTCTATGGGAAGGTGGAGGACTTTGTCACTCGAAAGTGCACCAATCACCATATACTACACAGCAAGTGACCGGCTGACTAGGTTAGAACTTCAATGATGAATGGGAGTCAAGCACCCACCTCATCGTAGTACAATGTGGGATTGTTAATTGAAATAGAACTAGGAGAAGACCAGACGATCGAAAATAAAGAAACAAAATAAGCTGATCGGGTTGTTGACCACGGAGTTTACCTCTTCCCAGGGAGAACCCAAGTTCGAATCCTTATTCGGACACAGGGGAAATCTCACTGTTCTATTTGTCTTTCTTGTGTTATTAAGGTGACATTGACTCAGCTGTATGTTGCCTACCATAAAATTATTAATAAAAACATTCTCGAAATTCATTTCCTTGAGGAAGTGACGACAGTTATTTAGCCACTTTGACGAAATATTCACTCGGAGCGTATATCAGGAAACGGTTTCGTCAAAAACGACGAAAGTTTCGTCAAATTTTTGTATTCATTTTCTACAATGTGGAGGATCTATTGAAAGAGATCTCAAAGGGCTCCATTTTATTAAAAAAAACCATTGTATATTATTTTTCTACTATATTTTAACCATAAATGCCACTGAAATTTTTTAAAAAAATGGATTTTTAATTCTAAATTATGTAAGCTACGTCGTACAGAGAATACAGTTCGATGAAACTATTTTATATGCTTAGATTTCAATGCAAAACCGATAAATGTCACGGATTTTTTTTTCTTTTCTTAGATGTTTAAAAATTGCTTATTATTGACATCGACAAGGGGCAAATTGCTTAAATTGCTTATTATACGCGTTATTGATAAAGATTAAGACATGATAATTTTAATAGAAAATAAAAAGACAATTATAAACAAACTCTTTTTCCTGAAAAATATAAACTTTTAACCACATCACAACTCTCATGCAAAGACACAGCAACATTACCAATTCTAAGCTCTTATTAAAATCTTACAATGGTATAAAATTTCATTTCTATAATTACCTGGTTATTTTTATGATGAAAACAGAATCATTTTAGATGTTTACCAATAATCGTAATTACAATCTGATATCACGAAATTTCTATTCAGAAATCGCAAATCTTAATTATGGTGAAAGACACTTTCAACAAATTACCCGAGTTCCATGGCAATAATTCGAATGCCTCACGTGTATGGTATTTCGGGATCATTTTAAAATTTCATTATCGCAAAGAGTGCTATATGCTTCATCAGTAAGTCAACACCTGGAAAATAGTTACATATAGTTGGAGATGAGGAGAGGGGGGGGATTATTTCCAAGCAACATTTCCAATTTAGGACGTGCACATAAATCAGTAATGACGTAGCTTATCCCTAGCTGATGTCAGAGTTTCTGCTGCTCTCGGGAGATTCCAACTTTATCGACATTCTCTTCCAATTAAAGAGATGAAAAGAGAACAGAAAATACCTGAGACTCAACTATAAATCTGATGAGAGAAAATGCAGCAGATTTCGTTAAGCGAAGCATGTTCTGCTGTAATTTTATCTCTTGAAATTTCTGCGTGTTTGACATGGGTAATAAAATATTAATTGCATTTCTACTGATGCGTGAGTTTTGACTTATATTACAATTTCATTCTTGTGGAAAAGGATGCAGCTTTGCGAACGAACTTCTATTAAACTGGGGAAAGAAATGAATGTAACGAAAAATTTTAATTAAATTTCGGAATCGACAGAGCATCGTCAATTGAATTATTCCTTTGGAAGGAATTTACGATTTTCGAATGACAATGGGACGGAATGATTTTAAAGATACTTTTAATGTTCGCATTCATGAATGGTTGGATTGATTTTAGCATTTAATGATCTACCCCGAGTATCAAGCTTTTGCTCATTTAAATTTCATTCAAACATGAAATATCTATTACTCACCTAATGGTTATCGCATATCTGAAGAGAAATATTTAATAGATTGTAAAATATAGTTTTATGATGTCACAGCAAATTTGAAAATACTTTTGCAATTGCTGATGGTTTTTAATCAAGACCCTTTACTTTCAAACGATGCATAGTAAAATAACATGCAATGCATTTTTGAGAACAAAATAAGTGTTACGGGAGAGTTCTGGAATATAAAACCAAATTCCGATTTCGAACATTTTATAGATATTATCTTCATGATATTAAGTCCTAATTAAGCTCCTAGTTGCAAAACTGTAAATACGAAACATTTTGAAGCGATTATAAATAAATTAATAGGTTTATAAATTGACAGGTCTAGTTTCTTAAAGTCAACGTTATTTTGTGAACGATATGTGTTAAAGTAATTTTTTAATTTTTATATGATAATAATAAAAAAAGACTTATTATTTTATCAGAAAAAACTGCCTTGTTTTTTTTACCGTCAATATTTCAACAACTGCCATTAATTTAAACAATTTGATAAAATCAAAATAATGTATTTTTTTAACATCAAAATCTATCATTTTGCTTTTTATTATTAATTAAATTCAGAATCACTGTCTTAAAATTTATTAAAAAAAAGAATTTATCTTTCAAATTTATACACATCACTTTTGTTATTTAAGTAGGCATGAAGCAATTTTTTTTAAAGAAAAAGAAAAGGAAACAAAAGGCCTCTGACAAATTTGTTCCAAACACTAGTTCTAAAAAAGCATAGCAATACTTAGTTGCGATGGAACAGCAACGAAAATGCCCAACCATTTGTAATTATCCAAAAAAGCAAAGTATATTTGGACTAAAGTTTTCTTATCTAGGATTAGATTGTAAGCAATTAGCAACGAAGTACTTACAGTTCATATCAACGGTTACAGCAGCAATCGCCGGTTGTGAAAAATTGTTATTAGAAGCTTGACAAGTGAAAACAGCCATTAGGTCGTGTCGTTTCAACGACTGGATTTCAAGCTCGTTTCGTACAACACCATGTGGCGTTACGGTATAGGTATCATCTAATAGTACTGATTCTCGCCACCAGGTGACAGACGGCAGAGGCTTTCCTAAATAAAGGACAAAACTGTTAATAGGCAACTAATATTCATTGTATCAATAAGTATAAATTATTAATTATACAGATCGTTTCGCAATCACCGCCCACAATATATATTTTTGAATGGAAAATAAATGAAAGTAAAAAAATTAAAACAAAAAAGGGTTCTTATTATTGGTCAAAAATAAATATTTATGAAGGTATCAAATGTGTCAAGTATCCATTGAATCACATTGCCGTAGAAAACAGCTATAGCCATCCGATTTTTCGCGATATGTAGGCATTGACAGCTGTAGCCGCCCTGTAGATTTATCTAATAAAAAAAACATCATTAGTTAACATCATATATCACAGAACACAGTAAAAAAGTAATGAGTGAATGACGATTACAGACTTCGAGAGTTTTCATGGAAAAACTGTTATAAAATTTGATAATTTTTGCTCCGAAATATTCGCTACTGGCCATTAAAGTTGCTACACCAGGAAGTAACGCACTTAACAGAATGATATTTATGGGCATATACATTATAGTTGGAAGAGCAAGTGATAAAATTTTCAGGATATTTGGATGTATAGATCCTGAGGAATCAGTACTTAGAGAAGACTCCCCTGGCAGCAATAACGGCAGTTATTCTCCTGGGCATCGAGTCGAACAGAGATTGGATAGCATGGACGGGTACAGCATTTCATGTAGCTTCGCCATTATGCCACAATTCATCGATCGTAGTGACTGACGAGTGGTGGCGTGCCAGTCGTTCGGCAACTATTGATCAGACGTTTTCAGTTGGTGAGAGATCAGGAGAACGTGCTGGCCAGGACAACAGAGTGTCAAGGAAGGTCAGGGCAGTGCAGGGAATATGCGGTCATGCATTGTCCTGCTGAAACGTAGCGTTATGAAGGCCTCGAAGATAAGGCAGAGTAACTGGCCCTAGCACATCAGAAATGTAACGGCTGCTGTTCAAAGTGCCGGCAATGCGAACAAGAGGTGATCGAGACGTGTATCCAATGGCACCCCATACCATTACTCCAGATGGTGGGCTGGTATGACGATGTTGAATGCAAGCTGCCAATGGACGCTCTCCGCGATTTCGCCAAACACGGATGCGACCGCCATGATGCTGTATACAGAACCTAGATTCGTCTGAAAAGACGATGTCATGCCATTCCTGCGTCCAGGTTCATCGTTGATCACACCATTGGAGGCTCTCCTGTCTGTGACGTAACGTCAAGGGTAGCCGAAGCCATGGCCACCGTGCTGACAGTACGTGCTACTGCAAACGTCGTCGAACTGTTCGTGCAGACACTTATTGTCTTGCAAATGACCCCATTTGTTTGACCACTCATGATTCGTGACGTAGCTGTACGATCCCTTAGGGCCATGTGGGTAACAAATCCGTCTTCTCCACTCTTAGGGAGGGAGTGGGGCGCTGAGATCCTTCACGGCTTTCCGTCTGACCGTCATGAGGCCATCGATTCCAAGTTCTGCTGACAGTCATGGGATCTCGACCGCAATCTGATCTCGATCAAACTCAGACATGTGCCTGTAGACATTTCTCCTTCTTACAAGAGGCATAACGGAAACTTTTTTGACCAGGAACAACGCTCAAATTCAATTTCTGTATGAGAAACTTACTGTCCAATACCTTCTTTTATACACATTGTAAGGGTCGCTACCGCCGCCTGCTTTGCATGAATGCGCTGATAAGCTAATCATTTGCATATCACAGCAAGCTTTATCCGTTCTGCAAATTTCACGTCCGTGGTGTGTCACTTTCCTGGTGTGCAATTTTAACAGGCAGTCCTGTATAACACATGCAATTGGAAAAAAATGTGTTTCATTAGCAAGCGAAAAAAAATGTGTTACTGTGTGAGTCCTATTGTCCTATTGAAAGTATGCGGCAACGTGTTAATGAATACTGAGTGAAAAACTTGAAGGTCAGTGATATGTTATAATTAATTACTAATCTGTTTCATCAGGCAATCAAACAGGTTTTATAATTTCGATATTTTTGTTCGTAATCTTTCAAATTTTTCAAGTCTTTCTTTTAGTCTGTGAACCCTACACTGAGAGAAAAATATGAGAGTATGATAAATTTTACCACGTTTGCTTTGGTAACGATTTTGGTAAAATTTCTAATAAAATATTGCTTTATAATATTTTATAAAATTTGGTAAATGTGGTAAAATTTGTTAATTTTTTTCATAGTGCACTAGAGTATGGTATAAAAACCATTTATTCGTTTAAATTTACTTTTCAGTTTGGTATTTTATTACCAAATGTAGGATACGAACCATAATTTTAAATACCAGAATTTCCTGTAAAAAGTTAGCATATGAAAGGCTTAAATACAGTACTTTTATAATCAAAATTGCATTTTTTTAACCGAAAGTATTTTTATCAAACAGTCGGTAATTTTAACATAATTTTTTTCTTTGTAGTGTAATTATATATATTTGTTTTTTATTTTCTGAAATTTTTTTTTGTCGAACAGAGTGGTAATTTCTTACCATTACTAATTCACTATTAATAAAATTAGAAACTTATGAATTTTAAATTTAAAGCAAACATATATATTTTTACTGATCAAAACTCTCACTGGTATTTTTTTAAAAAAATATCGATATATGTAATTTGACTCTTATATACAATTTATTTTTACGTTCATTACCAACTTCCAATTTTCCAACATACAAACGTAATTTTTTTTTTAAGTAGACTTTCCTTTTTAAAGATATAAATCGATAAAATACATTTTCTTTCATTATACTGTTACTTTTCACAAATAATTCTCTCCTAAAAAAAAGCTTTTATTCAAAAGGTATCAAATAATTCCATGTCATATAAATCTACGTATACAACAATTTGATTACATTCTCACTAAAAATATCCTATATTTTATATATACTATCAGCTTTCGTGAAAACTTTCTAAGAGAGAAAAAAACGGTAAAAAAAACCTTTACTGAATCACTCGAAATGCTTTGTGATATCTTCGATTTTTTTTCGTCTAACTTGTCAGGAAAAAAAACGTTTTGGTGAAAAAGTTTCACAAATACCTAAAAATGGTAGAATAATATCTCGCATCCATCTTAGCTATACACTTCTTAAAGTTGTCAGATGGTAGGCTTCTTCGCCTTTAACGATTTTCCATTTCTTTGTGGAATAGTGTATGGGTTTTTTCCGTCTTCTATCGTTTCAAAATGGTTGAAGTAAGTGGCATTTTATACGAAACGCATAAACAACTAGTGGGCTGTAGACGATTGTGGTTATAAATTCAGTTCATTTGTGCTTTAGAAAAAGGAAAGTTGGAGGGAGAGTATGATTTATACATTTTACAGATATTGTCCAAGAAGCGTGAAAGCACTGTAAGGAATTTGCGTGAGCGTTTAGAAAATCGATGTAATATTGAGCGGGTGGGTCAGTTGCATTTGGCAAGTTTATGCGGTATTGAATTTGGGGATTATGTAAGTTGATTTATGTACAACCGTAAAAAAGCCAAAATCCGCTTTTATCGAAATTACCAGTAAATATACGAAAAGATGACAAGCGTCTAAGTTTTCTTACACTGCGAAAAAAAACATGGTTAAAAATACCAGAATATTGCAAAATTTACCATGTTTCTGGCTCTCTGGAAATGCCCAAAAGCTCGGCAATGTTTTTCTGAAGTGCATTAATGAGTTTGGTAAAACTTACGAATAAATATGGTTTTATAAAATGGGATAGAATTTGGTAAGTATGGTAAAATTTAGTAATTAAAAACTATTTATTGTGTTAAATTTACTTTCAGTTTTGCATATTTTTACTAAATATGTGCTAATAGGAACGATATTTTTAAAAACTAGACATTTTGGCAAACCGTTACTATATGAACTAAACACTTTTAAAAAAATGGATTAAATTCAGCATATTTTAATTATTAATAGCAAAATTATGTTGTTGTTTTATACCAAAATTTTCATTTCCATACAGTACGGTAATTATACCATTTATTTTTCTCCATGTACTATACAGGTTGTAAAAGACCCGAATTCTAGCCTCATTTTGACTATTTACAGGATTAGTGAGAACGCATTTATGCTTCGAGTATGAGACTAAGAAAATGAATTAAAAATAGCTTTCTAGGTGTAGAATAAAACGAACGCTACTCTGTAAATAAATCAGAGTATCAATGAAAGGGAGAATCAATGAATCAACGATTGGTTTGATTGATAAATATGCACATCAATGAACCAGTGTACTAATTAGCATATTGAAAACCATCATACCAAAGTAAAAGAAGTTCAATAAACGAATGAAATGTGTATACAATATACAGAATAAACGCGTAAGCATATCAATATAACAGCTCGTCAATGAGTAAGCAAATCACCAGATTCAAAAACCACTGCTTCGTTGATTTGTTGATTTTGTGATTAAAACGTCCATTAAATCTCTGGTTATTCACTCACTCTATCATTAAATCTCAGATCAATTGATTCATTGATTTTCTTATCCACCCGTTTGCTTATTTTTTTCTTTCATTGACCTGTTGATTTTCCCATCTGCTTATGATAAATTTGCTGTTTCATCAATTTGCTCTTATTTTGATTTTACAATTCTATCATCAAATCATTTAATAATAATTTCATCAATTCACACTTACTTGGTGATGCTTGTATTTATTAATTTTCTCATACACTCGATTGCTCAAGTCTAATTTGTGCAATTAAGTTATTTTCTGTTACAGATGTTTTTGCATAATTTGTAATTATCATAATAAAACTGTATTATACCTTCATTACCTTCGTTTTAATAAAGCTTACACTTGCTTCGAGACATTTTGCATTTAATCAAGCTTTATATCAGTAACTAAATTAGAAACAAATGTGGTAAAATTGGGGAACTTTATGGTAATGACATTAGAGACCATAATTCTGATTAACAAAAGCAAATGATGCGGTATTTAAACCATTAATCTGGCAATTTTTCCGTTCATATGGTAAGGGTTTACCGAAAATTCTGGTTTTAAATTATAATTCTAATTACCACACATCTAGTAAAAATTACCAGCTGAAAAATAAATGTAACGTGATGTATGGTTTTATCCTCTGTTCTAAGGTATCATGATAAAACTACCAAATTTTATCGCGTTTTATAAAACCGTATTTTATTGTTAATTTTATCAAAGTCATTACCAAAGTGGTTCGGTAAAAATTACTAATATTTCCCTTTGAGACAGATACATGGTAAATTTTATCACATTATGATAGTTTTGACGCTTTTTTTTCTCATTCTGCACGTGAAAAGAGCTTCCAAATATTAAGATATTAACATTTAATATAAGTCAAAAAAATATCTTAAAGCAATCTCATTACTTGTCTTTACACACATTAGATTAAAAACCGATAGTTTTATCTAAAATTATACTGTCTATTTGTGTTGTTGTTGTTGTTACTTATCCCCTTGGTCTAGAGCCCAAGACCAATTCCAGAAGTTAATGTCGCATCAGCAAGTCATAGACAGTCTCTCCATCACTCATCAGTTGCCTCAAAGTGGCACCAATGCAATCCAAAAGATGAGACGGAGAAGCGATGGCCGAGCAATGCAATAGTCATAAGTCTTTTCTTTTGCTCTGAAGGTCAAACACTTTATATGGCCGGAGGTCTATTTGTATAATGTTAAATGCTCTCGGATTTTATTAAATCAACGATTTAAAAAAATATACAGTTTTTAATTTTTTTTTTCTAATAGCATTATTACTATTTCAAATTCCAATTATTTCGATAGCCATTTTATAAAATTTATTTATGAATTTACTTAATTTTATTCCTTGGGGTTGTTTTATTCACTGAAATTGAGATAATTTAAAAATAAATTTTAATAATTTATTATCTTTCCTATAACCTTGAATACAATTAATCAGAAAAACTAATTTAGAAAATATAATTAAGTGCAGTTCTTTCATGATTTACAATAATAATATTGAAGTAATTTAAAATAATACTTATAGTATTATTCTGAACTAAAATACTTAGATAAATTTAAATGCATTAAACCATATAGAAATTTTATGAGCATTGAAATAAGGGCCTATCAATTTTTTTTTCATAATTTGTATGATTTTTCCCCACTTTTAGTCCATATTCTGTCGTTTTATTTGATTGAAGTTAGCCTACTTTTATACCTTTGAAATAACACAACGACAAATGCAAAACACGTTGTGATAGCATATACGCAAAGGCATTGTATTCCCAATTATCTGTAGTTTTTGTAAATTGATATCACAAATTTATTTAAGGCTAACAGACTTACATTAAATTTGAAAAGAAAAAGAAACTACTGACTATTTTCTAAAAATTTTATCCCAAAAATAAAAAGAAAATTTCTTCACACATAATAAATGCAATTTGTCAGAGCTATTTCATACGTAATTCGCAACAGTTGATAAAAAAAAGCATACCTAATATTTTCAAATTGTATGTAAAATTATTTAAAATAAGTAAAAAAAGAGCATTATAAAGGTATATATTTCATTTATTAACATTATCAAAAATAAAAGATAACTCATTTCTTAACGTTTTGAATTTTTTATGCTTAGCGAAATTGTTTATTCTGTTTTTTTCACTGGAAATATACATATTAGATTTTGACTTATAAGATAGTACTTTAAGTGAGTCAGGGAAAATTTCTTTTCGGAAATGTCTGTTACTTTGAACCGTGGGGAAAATCTGACAACTGCGAGGAAAATTAAAGAGTTTTATCAAAATCTTCTGATCCTACCTAGCAGCGGAAAGAAGGTTAAAAAAATGTTTTCTTTGAAGAGTGAATTATTTAAAAAATTTTCTTTCAGGCAACAGAGTGTTAGCTTGTTATCGAATTTTATTAAATTAGTTTTTATATGCATATTGGTTTTACTTTTATATACAGCTTATAAAGACTCAGTTTTTTGAAACATGATAAATTCTCTTAAGAAACCTTTTATTACGAAAATGAAAAGATACCCAAAAATTTAAATTATTACATAAATTTTCGTATTGAATAACCAAAAACATATTGTAATTTTAATAAATTATGCATTATAACCTCTAAGTTAGAAAAAAATACCTTTTGTGTGAGATGAACTATAGATAGTAATTTTAATAACTAAAAATAAATAAGGAAAAGTTTCTATGCATGAATAACAAACCGCAATGCAACACGTAGTGTTTATGGCAATATTTTATTAGGTTTGTTCTATACGAGTAATTGGGTATGAAAATTGGAAGGATATTATTTTTAAAAGAATTATTTTCGCCTACCAAAGCTCATCCTTAGGAGGAAAGCAAATTTTACTTATCCATATTAAATTTCATCACAAATTTAAAATATTTTTCCAGTTTCCCTTTAACTTTGTTTTCGTATTGAGTTATGTTTTTTGACAAGGAAACTGCCATACATCTAATTTTTTCAAATATGAATTAATTTTTTTGGTTTACAGACATATTTTCCTTGTTTTGACTAGTATTCTAAGATCTTTCGTTCGATGGAATATCCTCTGCAGTAAATTAAGTATTATTACAATAGCATAAATTTTATGAGGCAATGTGATACATTTTCAAGGGATAAATTGAAACTTTTTATTGATTCAAAAAAGTTTAACTCCCTTGTGGTATCAGGAAAATTCATTAATTCATGAAATAAATTTTTAAAAAACCAGATGCAATTATATTTTTAAGAATAAAATATATTGTAATCAGTCAAACCTTCTTCTGCTTCACAAATCAAATGGAGATCGTCCTCTTCGTTATAAGGTCCTATTAAACTCTCCAAAATTTCGCCATTTTGATCAGTAATAATAGGTTTCTTAGGAGGCACTGAAAGAAAAACGTATTTAAGATAAATAATGTGCAAAAAGGAAACATTTTTTCGATTAAAAAATATATTTAAACTGACATAAAAAAGCTGAACGATTGAACGAAAAACATTTATAGTTAGATAGAAAAAAAGTAAAAATTTTAAATAAATAAAACTTTTAACTTTGGCATCTTCTTTGAGATCCAAATCTTAGTATTCATATGAAGTCTGACACTAAACGTACATTTTGTAGAAATTGGCAGAGATACCTAACATGGGGTCAGTTGGAGTTCAGATTTCAACTTTAAAATGTATTGAATCATTCGAGTGCTGCATTTTTTGAACAAATTAGTTCTCACTGTTTCCACGTGAGGTCCTAAATCTTTATTTAATAATAATTTTATCAATATTTTAAATTATTCTGCAAAAAAGCACAGACAATATTAAATATAAAAAGCTCAAATAGCAACCGTATTTTAATTCATGATTTTCTGCAGTTAGGAAACTTTCTTTCTGGGTCTTTTTATATAGTTTTGACCTAAACGCACTTATATGATTTCCAACTTCGTAATGATTATTTAATAAAAAAATTTTATTTTATGAAAAAGTTACTATAAAAAATCATTTAATGCTGCTTTTGATAATGCTTTGCATGAATATTAAAAGTATTTTTGCTTACTTATAACAGTTTATTAAACACAAAATCATTTGCCTGTAAGAAATAGAATGCATAGAATATCTTCATTTTTCTCTCAAGATTAAAACCGATTAAGCTTCATGAATTATTTTTGAACGCCAGAACTCAATAACAATACACCAAAAATAATAATGCGTTCAAAAATAATAATGCACCAAAAGCTACTTATCAAGAACTCAGCGAGTAATTTTTTGACTGATTGTGTAAGAGATTTTCTTTGTTCATACCATGTACTGCATGTTGAAACAGATCATTGACTCATTGATATATATGGAAAAATCTATACCATATAACATTACATTCCAAACAAATAGCACGTGCACCTGCATGAAGTATTAGCAATTGCTATAACTACTATATACATTTTTCGAAAAATAGCTGTAAACCTTATTAAAAGTAGTGATAAGCTCCAAGCTATGCTATTTTTATGGAACTTCGATTTGGAGAAACGAATTTGAAGTAGAAACCGATCTGTTGTATTTAAATGTTGAAAGCATAGAACAATAAAACATAAAAATAGAATGATAAGATATGAAACAATGGAACATAGTAAAAGAGAACATAGTAAAAAGAATGTAGTAAAAAGGAACCTAGGAAACAAGGAGCGTAGAAAAAAAGAACATAGAAATAAAACAATAAAAAGAAAAACGGAATACAGGAGTCATTGTTCAAGAAACGTTTTAGCTCCCAATATCTCGACACGTATGAGGATTCGCAAAAAGTAATAAGAAAGAAAGTAAGGTAAAATTTACAGTCCTTTTGACACTATTGGAACAACAAAAAGCTTGGTGATTTTTACCGAAGCACTTTGGTAATGATATTTGTGAAATAAAATAAAATATGGTTTCGTAATATGTGATAAAATTTCATAATTAAAGTCTGGTAAATTAGTAATCAATAATCATCAAATACAAAATGTGATGATTTTATCTTGTTATTTTGGAGCATTTCATAACAACCATTAATTTGGTTAATGTGGTAAAATTTGTTAATTCTATCATGATATCTTGGAGTATGTCATAAGAACCACTTATTCAGTTAATTTTATTTTTCTGTTTTGAGTTACTTATTAAATATGTGGTAACAAGAACTGTAATTTTTGAAACCGGAGTTTCTGGTAAATTGTTACCATATGAACAGAAAGTTACCAAATGAATGGCTTATGAGCGAGTTTGTTTTTACAACCAGAATTAGTTCTTTTTTTTTTCGATTACCCGAAATATCATTATTCGAGGGTAATTTCTGCGGAAAATTTTTCTTCCTGCAAGGTTACAGTCAGTTTTACTTTAATACGGTTGAGCCCACTCCAAAATTTTTAATCATGTAAAATAATGTATGGTGATAATCTATCTAGTTTTATGTTAATAACTTTTAATTATAAGTCAGATATAAGTAAATAATAAATTTATAATTTGCTTTGGCATGATTAAGGAACAAGAATCAGTAAATAGTAACAATTTAAACTGCTATATAATTACTGTTAAAAATTCAAGCAATTTAATTAAAAAGCTATTTTGGTAAATAAGCTTACTGAAATAGTTTGGTATAAGAAAATCACGAAAATATGTTTTTTCTTAAAAATTAATTGCTCGTTAATGATTTCATTTTCATATTTTTGAAGAAAAATATTTCAGTCCTGCAATATTTTGATTGTATTTGTTTCGGAAAATTTTGTAAATATGAGCCTGGATTCACGAAAATTGTGGGAGAACCAATGAATAATTTATTTAAACGCTTGAATACCATTACCATTATTTAATTAGTTTACGAGCCTGAGAAGATTGTAAATGGAATCATGAATAAAATTTTCATTTTCAAGCAAGAAGACTTGTGCTAATTTTATGTCTAAATGAGAAAATTTTTATTCATGCCCTTCCATACATCTCATAAAAATAATAAGCTGCATTTTAATACATTTGAAATGCTTGCTTACTAGACAGCAAGAATGCTTGAATACATAAACTCAGGAAAATCGTGTTAGTATACGTAATACCTCCTAAATTTGTATTTTGTGGTTTGCAAATTTTATAAAAATTTTTTTAAGATTTGCACTTATAGAACACTCATAGATTCTAAAATCCGTTTTTATTTGTACATAAAAAGGTTGAAATTTGTAATGAATAAAAATATTAACATAATGAAGATTTTTCAAAAAACTTCAACACCATATTTAATTTTTTTCCTTTTTTGGTCTTTATAGGAAAATATCTTATCAAAGAAAGATGTGTGCAAATCATTCGTTACTCTTTTTATTTGATAAGATATTTTCTAACATTGTTCGGGAGGCAAGTGCATAATCTGCATTAATATGTTAATTTTATTTAGTGTTGCATGTAATAAAGAGTGTTGCATGTAATTAAGAACACAGACGTTTATGTGCAATACATTTCTGGTGCCGAAATAAATCTGCTTAAAAATACGAATCGTAAGAACAATTTACGGAGTTACGAACACATTTGAAAACAAACGGAACTTCCAGCATTATTCTTACGCAATGGTAAAACAAAACGAAAATGACCTTGGCGACAGTCTAACGTTACGTTTCTGAAAAGAAAAAAAAAGTTCGAGGTAATGTGACTCGATTTATTTCTCAATTAAATTCTGATTTTTCTTTAGAAACTGACTGTTCAAATGAAAGTATCGAACATATTAGTCATCGGCTTTCTAATTGCTTGTTAAAATTGACGAAATTCGATAATCTTATTCATAGCCATTAACTGACGCTAATTATGAAAATGATATTGTTCAATGTGAAGAATATGTGGATAATGTCGAACTCGCTATTCTCAAAGCAAAGAAATAATATTAATTCGTAAAAATATTTCGGGATCAATTGATTAAACTCGTCGGCATCAGTTGAAGTACCTATTTCACAAGTATCGACTGAAGTACCTACTTCTCAAGAAGCCATTATGGCACCATTTTATTCATCTGTTGAGGATATTGTTATACTTACTTTTTAGCAATTGATAAACATGTGTTCTTGCGGATATATTTAGAAGATGAGTCAAGGCGTTTAGTTGAAGGAATTAGTATCTGTACCGACACGTATGAAACTACGGAAAATACATCAAAATCTACATGGGGATAAAAAACAGAAAAATTCAAGTACATTTAGACTTTTTGGAGAATATTTTGCCTATAAATAATCCCACTCTTATTGCTTTGAATGAAGTATTTATTGAATGCAATAGGAGACTATAAGCTTTAACCGCTTTAGGAGAGGGTATTAACGCACACGGGTGTGTTTTGGGTCCTAAAATTTTACGTGCTATTCTCGACGATATCTGTCGCCAGTAGATTACTTACACGATGAAGGAGAAAATATCAGAAGGCGATAAGAAGAAACTAACACAATACCTAACAGATGAAGTTGAAGGTGCTCTCACATAATTAAAATTTCGAGGTGAGCAAAGCTTTGATTATAATTTTAAGTCCTCTACAGCTGCATTGCATATTAATTTCAGAAAGCACTGTTAATTTAAAAGACAATCTCTTCTGTCTATTTTGTGTCACTGTTGGACATTGGGCTCAAGACTGTAATCGAATAACTGGTATTGATACTCGAATTCAAAAGTTAAAAACTTTTTGTCGGCGCTTCTTGTGTACTCACCGTGGCCATAGCATAGAAAAAAATTGTTTATGTAAAGATAAAATGTTTGTATAAAATGCAGAAAGAAGCACTATGCAATCATTTGTAAAAGTAGCGTTTCAGCTCAATCTAGACACTCCACTTTTACAAATAATATAGAAATTTATGCATCGAATTTCACCCTTTTACAAACTACTCGAGTGGATGTAACTGGACCAACTGATGTTACTAAGCTTGCAAGATGTATTTTAGATTGTGATAGCCAATCCAGTTTCATTCATTCTCACATTGTGGACTACTTAAAACTAGATGTCATTAGCTCTGATACTATTGAAGTTCATGAGTTCGAATCATTGTCAAATCAGGCAGGCTCAACTGAGACGTAAAGCAAAGTTTAAACTATCGTGTGTTAGGAATCAGTTAGAAGTTTACTTAAATGCATGAGAAAGTTCTTATGCGTATGCATGAGGAAGTTCTTATGCGAAACCCACCCATTGGAGATTGCTTCTACCGCTCACAGGAAGAAATTCAAATTTGCTGATCCTTGTGATACGAGACAGGATGAGCCTGTAGAAGTTTTGATTGGTGCTGACTTTTATTGGTCTGTGGTGAACTCGGAAGTTCCATTTAGACTTTCTGAAACATTTTGCTCATTCCATTAGTTTTTCGCTGGATTTTGTCTGGATCCAGATCACAAACATCTGTCACTTCTGCATCATCAATTCATAACA